GGTGGCCTCCCAACACTTCACGATTTCATTCAGCGCGGCCTGCTTCTGCTCAGGGAACATGTCGTGCGACTTCGGGACTGAGAAGTTGCACTTCTCCTGCTTGCACATGGCGCCGAGGTCCGTGCCCTTCATCTTGCAGATCCTCTCCTTGAAAGCCGCCGCGTCGTTCTCGAGGGCCGCGGTGTCGTGCGCCACGAACGTCAGAACTGCGCCGTAGAGCTTGTCGAGGGCATCGGGGAACGTCGGGTTGTAGGTTGCTTCGGTCCCAACCACCCAGGGTTCTTCATCCTGCGCACCACTGCAGAACTTGAACGAGTCCTTGCACACTTCGAGCACCTTCATTACCTCATTGCCGATGACCTGGGCCCCGCTGGGAGTTCTGACCTGGCCCATCTCGCACACCGCGCGAATCGCGAGATTCCATCGCATGGGCTTGGGTTTGAGAAAGCCCTTCTCTTGGAAAATCACGAGCTGCTAGCACGCTTCGGGAACATCCGACTTCATGTCCTTGATCGCCCGCAGCAACTTCTCGAAGTCTACGTCGACATTGAAGGGAAGTAGCGTGAGCGCGAAGTCTGCGGCCGCTTCCACCACGTACTTCGAAGCAGCCCCAGGGCTGCAGCCCTTATCGCTGTAGATCTTGGCCATGCTACTCATCACCACGGCCCAGACTCCCTGGGCGACCGTGGTCTTCCAGGACTCCTCGTCATCGGGCGGGCGTTTCTTCAAGTGCGCCACGATGCCCCCAACGACAGGCAAGTAGTCGGAGATCATGTCCTCGGGGGGGACGTGAACGTCGTCCTGAATCGGCGCGGCGTCCAAGGTCTCGCCCACGTTGAAGTCAGGGTCCGTCGGCCTCGGCTGAAGCTGGGATCGCCGATAAGCATCCTTCTTCATTATATTTCTCAGAGTGCTCCACTTGGTGATGACGGTCTGTTTCTGGCCGTTGGGCTGAGAGTAGAGGCATGCGGAGCCAGTGGAAGTCGCATACATTGAAATATACTTCATGCTGTTGATCGCGTCTGCATCGCACCTGAGCTTAGAAGAGCAGTAGTCCAAGAAATTAGTCACGTCGTCCAGCCACACCATGGTCCTGGCCGAGTCCAGGCCAGGCCCTTCCTCGAGAGCAACGGTCCGACGCCTCTTGTGCGCCTTCTTCTTGGCGCTAGCCTCCACCCTCGCTGCCTCGACATCCTTCAGCGCCGTACTCCCTTCCATGGGCAACAAGAGATTCTCGACGTGCAATTCGGTCAAACAGTGCAACTTGCTGGTGTCCAGGCCCTGCGGGAGGAAGGTTGAGACCCCCGCGACCGCGGTCGGAATGCGGGGCAACGACAACAGGAACAAGTCCACGGCGTAGCCAGGGAAGCCTTTCTTCGCGAGCTTCATGCAATGCACGAAGTTGTCGATGACCTTCCAGTGCTTGCCGTTGATCGCGGGGTGCATCCAATCAACGCTGGCCTGGCTCTGCTCCCACACGGCGTCCCGGACTCTCTTGCCCGAGGGCAGCACGTTGTCTTTATGTTTTGCTTCTTTGTATGCGCTGAGGCCCTGATCAGACTGGTGGCTCGAACGCCAACGGTTAACGAACATGCTCTCAGCGACCTCGAACCTCTTCTCTGCGTATTGCCGCTGGCCCAAGCTTGCCACTGACCACTCGTACAGCTTCTTCTTCTGGAAGAAGGTCGGCTCGACGCTGTCATGGGACATCAGCACCTGGAGGGCAGTCCGCGAACTCTGCTCGTCGTTCGTCTCGTTGCCAACGTCGACGAGGTACTCCTGCACGTACGCGGGGGTTCGCTTGTGGAACACTTTGCAATTCTGGAGGCCATCCCGCAACGACGCCTCCACGACTGAGTTGCCAGCGTTGCCTTCGTCATTCACGGCAGCCTGCAAGCCCTCGTAGAGCGTGGCCCAGTGGAGCAAATTGTAGCGCTGGAGCGTGACAGTCTACGTGGTCTTGGAAGCCTTATCCGCGTACACAGTGATGTCGATCTCGTCCCTCGGCACAACCCAGGGCCCAGCGCGAATGTTGAGGATGCCAACTTTCTCGACCGAGCGCTTGCGAGACTGCGCGCTGGCTGCGTCACCTCTTTTGTTGAACGGGCTCCTATCGCATGTCCACACCAAGCCGCCCACTGTCTCCACGGCTGCGGGGATCCAGATGGACTCCGTCACGCAGTACAGCTGGGTCACCCTCTGCTGCATCGTGATCCCCACAAGGTCAGGCCAACGCACGCGAACGTGAGGGTAGCGATCGCCCCACATGACATCACCATCGTCGTCGTGGCATTGCTGGCTCCTGTTGTGCGGCACGATGGTCGTCATCGCCATCGCGCCCTGAGCGGGCGGGCGCGAGCCCGCTGGCAACTCCTAGGGTCTAGGTTGCAACCCTCGGTCGCAGCAGCTGCTAGCCTTCCGAGCCATAACGGCTTCTGCCAGATGCCAACTGAGCCCTCGAGGGCGCCTCACCAGCGCCGAACGTCACCGAGCACAGCATGCATTATTTAGGTCGCCTAGCTTCGCGCTTCGCGCTGCGCGAAGCGCGAGGCACAAGAATCGTCGCGCCCTCGCGCCCCGCCCCAACCCCGATGTAGAATGGCAACTCTCCAGCCCAGATCGCGAAGCGCGAACCGCGATTATCTTCGCGCCCCTTGTGGGCGACATTGCATTATCAAACGCATTGAACAAACAGGGGCGCCGACTGGACACATTTTCAATGAGGTTGAAAATGGGGCCCTCGGCTTTTTTCAAACTGGTTGATATGCCCTCGCCAGACCACGAAATTATCAAACGCATTGATAACACAATGAGCGTTACATTGACAATATAGCAACATCCATTAGCAACCATATTGGTAGCCAGTCAACCAAACAGCCGAATTATCAAACTCATTGATAACCATGCGCACATAGCAACACACATTATCAAACAGATTGATAACCCGTTCAACCAACCAGCCGAATTACCAAACACATTGCTAATCATGCGCGCATAGCAACACAAGTATCAAACACATTATCAAACACCAGACAACCGAATTATCAAACATATTGATAATGTCACACATGCGATTTTCAAACACATTGATAACAATAACGTGCAGTTATACAACACATTGATAAACAACACACAACTACAATCACATTATCAATTACATTGATAAAACAACACTCGATTATCAAAACCATTGATAAACAGCACTGCGCCATTATCAACTATGTTGACACACATGACGTATAAGCCCCTAAGCCAGCAGTGGGCTGCCCCCAAACCTAAGAGGGGAAATAGCGTACCAATCACTAGATTGGTACGCTATTTCCCCCAACTTCTTGGGCTGGCCTGCATTTGCTCGCGCTTGCGTCGTCGTTTGCCCGACGACGCCGGACCACCAGACCACCAGACCGCCAGACCACCAGACCGCCAGACCACCAGACCACCAGACCACCAGACCGCCAGACCACCAGACCGCCAGACCGCCAGACCAGACCACCAGACCGCCAGACCACCAGACCGCCAGACCACCATACCACCAGACCATCAGACCACCAGACCACCAGAGCACCAGATCACCAGACCGCCAGACCACCAGACCGCCAGACCACCAGACCACCAGACCACCAGACCACCAGACCACCAGATCACCAGACCGCCATACCACCAGACCACCAGACCACCAGACGTTCCAGAACGCCCAAGAGCACGGCCCAGGAGAATCTGCATCGGTAATCTTCTCCCTTGTGCTCCTCTCCGCCCTCCTCCACTCCCACAACCGTTCCTTTCGACGCTTGTGTCTCGCCCACGGCTCACAGTGTGAGGCTTACAGACTTACAGACAAAAGAAGCAAACGAATTTCTTCAAGTCAGCATTGGCAGCATCAGCTACCGAATTCGCACAGCACGCGCGCCACCTGGAGGTGCAGCGGGCGCACGCATACGTCGGCAACTCAATCCCATACACAAGGGTATCTGGGTCGATCTCTGACGCACACTTGCATAACACACACATGCTTGACATATCGTGCTCGACCTCAGCCTCAGTAACAGCCAAAGGCCCACAAAACTCCTGGCACTGAGCATGTCTCTGCAGAGCAACTGCCCAGTGTGGCATTTTCTCTCGGTCGACACCCTTGCGCTTTACCATGTCCACGGGAAGTTTCCGCACAAAGATGTTTGTCGTTGGGCTCGGCCACTCCTCGAGCTCAACAAGGTGCGCAGCGTTGAAGATGATGCCGCGCCTGTGGTCGAGTCGGATTCGCCTGCCAGTCATCGGCTCTCCTCGGCACCTCCCCCATCTCACGAGCAACACCTGGTGGTCGAACGTGTCCTCGTCCAGCGGCCTCTTCACCTCTACCAACGAGATGTCCCCATGCTGTATGATGTGTTCCGCACACTTGGCCGCGTGCTCTCTGGCTGTGGCCACCAGCTCCGCGTTGCTAGCGCACATCTTGCAAGTCTGATCCAGAATAGGTGCCCGCTGGATGCCACCAGCGCAGATGTAATGCACGACCCTGGGGTGCACGGTCGGGGCCCGGCGGTTTCGCCCACCCCCCGCGCGCCCCCATGCGCCGCGCCCCCCCGCTCAGCCCCAAGAAGAAAATGGAAGTGGGATGGGCAACAACAGCGGTCAGCGCTTGATTTGGGAAGTGGGCCCCCATTCGGGGGAGCGCGGCGCATTGGAGGGCTGCGGCAGGTAACCGAAACCGAGATATCCCCGAAGTCCAAATCCTCAACGACGTCATCTCGCGCATCGCTTCCACCCGCCGCGCCAGCAGCGTTCTCGGAGTAGTCGGCGCTCTCCTCGCCGACGCCGAACTCCCCGAAGTCGTCGCCTATGATCTCCTCCATTGCGGCATCCAGGTCGATCCCACCGTCCTCGTCTGATGCCCCCTCGTGATCGGCTCCCCCATCTCCAGGCCCTTCAGGAACGGCGCCCCCAATGGCGGCGTGGCCACCAGGCGCGCCATCGCCAGCAGCACGTGGAACCCTGGCCTTCGCGGTCGGCTTGAGGCGAAGAACGCGGAGAGAGGCCAAGTCAACAATGGCAACGTTCTCAGACTTCCAGTGGACTGCCACCTTCCCAACGCCGATCGCATTGATGCTTCGCATGGAACTGCGGGGCCACCTCTCCAGAGTACGTCGTACTGCGCGGTCGAAGTGTCCGTGCAACTTCTCGGCGTGCAAAGGCATGCCCAGGCAAAACTCAAGTTCGCCATCGCGCACAGACAACGCCCCTGCCACTGCCCAGAAGGACTTCCTGTACGAGAGGTTCACAGTGAAGGCCTCATTCAGTTGCTTGACGTCTCCTCAGGAGTGCTTCCCGACCTCCTGGACGACGTGGATGTGTCGAGCCCCAACTGACAGCCCACTATCTGACGCACAACTCGCGAAGTGCATGCTCTTCCTACTTATCGGGTCTCGAATGCACCTGCACACTTGGTCGGGGGGTGCATCCACGCAGGGGTGGCATGTCGGGTACTCGAGTGGGATTGGTTCGAAGCGGCGTTGGCATCTTTCCGATGTCCGCTCCTTGGCAATTGCTTGGGCCATTGAGCAACACTCCTCCACTGAGATCTTCTCGCCATGCTTGAGGTTCATCCTTGCGCTTGCCAATGGTAAGCGGATCGTGGGAGCCCTCCTCGCTATCAGCTGCACCACGTTGTTCCACCCTTCGACCTCCTGGGTGCCCCCCTGTTGCAAGGCCCTCCAAGTAAGGAGGAAGCTGAAGAGCTCTGCAGGGCACGTCCCAGTCGCCTGCATATGTCGCCACTCGCCCAGATACAGATCCCTCGCCTTCACGGCAATGTCGCTATGGTCTCTCTGGAGACAGCCGCCGCATGCACCCGGTAGGTCGGCAGCAACGCCCCGCCTGACATCGCAATCATTTCGGGGGCCATTCTCGAGACACCGAAGGAATCGCAGGGGAAAGCGCTCCACTTTATCTAGAAAACGCATCTTCCATGCACAAGCCGATTGAAGCACCAGCGAAATGATGAGAACCCTCGCGTCCTGGATGCTGACGCCGCCCACGAGCTGCCACACGCTGGCCCACTTTCGCTCGAACTCACCAGTGGCAAGAAGCCCAGATATATCAGCCATAATCTCTGCAGCTTTGTACCCAACCAGGTCCGAAAGGAATGTTGCTCCAAAGTGGGCATGGCCATCCCGCTCAGCGGCCGCCCGTTTAACGAAGAGTTCGCGTCGCCGCTTCTTGGCCCAATTGAAGAAATGAGTCAGAGGCCCCTTCGCAATCAAGCTGATCCTGAGAGTCGCTCGGAACATGTCAGACCCCATCAACGCACCTGAAATCTGGGTATATTGCTTCTTCCGCTCACGATCATCGTCTGCCAAGTCACCGCCAGGTTGCGCTGGAGCAGCCCTCGCCTTCCCCTTCGCGGCGGCCGCGGCTGGCTTGAAGAGATTGGAGAACACGGCGGACAGCACGTTCGACCCTATGTCAATCAACGTCTCGACTGCATCAGCGTACCCCCAACGACCTCTAAGTGCTCGCGCGGGGATCTTCTTCGCAAACATCTCTGCCGCACCAATGCCGAAATCACGCTTCGCGCGGTCGTAGATCTTCTTGGGGTGCCCAACTGTTCGCCAACATATGCATATGATAGACAGGGCCGAGAAATATGGCCGACCGAAGTCAGCATTCGCCCACGTGAATCCATCCAGCGTCTGTAACAAATCTTGAACGACGAGGTGGTACTGGTGGAAAATGCAGAAGGCTACGCTGAACATCGTCGTCGGCATATCCCGAAGAACAACTTTCTTTATGAATCCAGCGGCCCCTTGGTTGTCAGGTCCGTGGTCGAGGCGCGTCGCATGCAGCTTGACCGTGCCCTCTGGTGGTGGGGTCATCCAATGCTCGCAGCCGACGTTTCGAAACTCTCTGAGCATCATGTTATACAGCTCTGCTCCAGTCCCAGCGCTGACCACATCTCGGCCACCCAACCACGCAAGCACATGCGCCCTCTCTGTGACGAGGAGCGGGGCAATGACAACGTGCTAGAGGGCCTGGGGGAAATGGGGGCCCCCTTCGATCTAAGGTGCACTTGTACCCACGTGGTTGGACACCCGAACCTGGGGGTCAGGGAGGCTGCGGTTCCATGGAGCAGCCAAAGCCATGAAATCATCGAGGCGCGCGGCCTCACGAAGCGAATCTGCTTTGACAGCTACCGATATGACCTCGCTGAGATGCAACTTGCTCTTCTCAATCGCCTCCTGGTTCGTGGCGTCGCCGCGATGCGAATACCCTGATACGTTCACCATCTTCCCGAACTCCATCCCGTCAGAAACCAACGCATCGTCGCCAGGCTGGCCGTCTTGACCATTCAGTGCTGCATGCTCGGGGGGTACGGGTACAAGATTGGGAGTCTCGTTCGCCATGCGCAATATGTCTGCATTCCGTCTGGTTGATCTGATCTGCATGGCGATGTGAGCCGTCAGCTCAAAATTACTGCAAATGTCTTTGTGCTTGAACCCTCCCGCAACA